TGTAGGAAAATCAAGGAGACACTGAAAATGACAATCTCTAGGTAGGAGGTTATGTGAAAGAAACTTTAAATGAATTCATTCTTATATGAAATTCTCTAGAAAGAAATTCTGTGCAAAGAAATGGAAAAAAGGTTGGGAAAAACAGAAACAAAAATTAATAAAATATTAATAATTCTTAAATAATTCACCCCCCCTCCCCCCCAACAGTATAACATGACGCTACAAAAACTCTTGCAAATTAATGGTATAATTAGATGAATGCTTTCATGCCAGCTCAAAACATGTTGTAAGTTATTGCACTTCATTTAGCTGTGGTCCCCTCATGTCAGCAATTACAAATCAGCACCTTTTATCGCAAGCATTAATTACTGTCCTTCAATTAAAAAGAAACAAGCAACCAGCTATATATTTTTAGTACAGTAAAAAGTAAAACAGATTTTAATCAAAATAACTTTTAAGGACAAGGTTTCCTAAAGTCATCTTCAGCTTTATCAGATGATGTCTAATTTACTGTACCATTCAAGTATTTCACAAGTCTGTGCATGTTTTTACACACAGACAATATTTAGATATTTGTTAATTTGTCAAATAATATGGTAAAATCGCCAAATCTGGAAAGCCTCTGAATACTGATACCTATCAGACTGAAAGAAAAACCCTTTATGACACCTTATATGCATGTATCTCCTGCCATTAAAATAAAAAAAATCACTTTGCTGAGTTTGGTCATGTAAGGGATGTTTTGGACTTAATAAAAAAAATGTGGATTATTTATGAAAAAATGTAAAGATTTCAAATTTGAATTTTTATTTTATTTGGCAGCAAAGAAAATGATGCTCTTCTCTGTTTTTTTTTTTTTTGTGTGTGTGTGATTGACTTCAATTCAAACCAGTCCTTATTTTGTTTTGATGATATCCACCTGGGAGTTACTGCATATGAGATGGCCTTTATTCTGTTATATGGATATATGGACAGGCATAATGTTCCTCTCTATCTTCTGCTTCTCCTCTTTCCAAAATATTTTTCCCATTCATATTTTACTGAAATTTATACATTTCTTTATTTTATTTTATTTTATTTTATTTTATTTTATTTTATTTTATTTTATTTTATTTTATTTT